ACCCTTCCTACTCCTGAGCTCTACCTATATTGCCTTGCTGTATGTGCCATCCAAGGTGTCCTCCTGCAGTACAGTTGTGATATTCTCTTTAACAAGTAGTGCAACTCCCCCACTGCTTTTAGATCCCCCTCTATCCCGCCTGAAACATCTGTATCCTGGAACGTTAAGCTGCCAATCCTGTCCCTCCCTTCACCAAGTCTCTGTAATAACAACAATATCACAATTCCAAGTACTAATCCAAGCTCTAAGTTCATCTGCCTAACCTGTTACACTTCTTGCATTGAAACAGATACGCTTCAGTCCACCAGACCGACTTTGATCAGCAACCACACCCTGCCTTTTTTTTTTTAAAAACATGGTTGCTGTTCCTCCAAGTCTTACTGACCCCATTCTCCAATTCCCTTTCAGTCCATTCACTTGACAACAGCCCCTCCGCAAACCACCTTCAGGAAGCAGTGACTGCACTGATGCAGATCTTCCCCACGTCAGCCAATCAGCGTCACCACTCTGCTGCCCTCTTCAAGCAAACTCACATTGTTTGATGACTGAATGCCTTTTTCTTAATTTGGGGTTGTTCAGCCCTAGAATTCTTTTATCCATTCATTCCATATTCAATCCATACCCAACCCTTTTTTTTTGTTAATGACTGCATATTCACCAGTTTCCTTTAAAGAGTCATAGCACTGTACAGCATGAAAACATATCTTAAATTAATCTAGTCCCATTTGCCAGAACTTGGCCCATATCTCTGTAAATGCTTCCTGTTCATGTACCCATCCAGATGCCTTTGAATTGTTGTAATTGTACCAGCCTCCACCACTTCCTCTGACAGCTCATTCCATACACGCACCATCCTCTGCATGAAAAGAACCCACTCTACTCATTATTGTAGATTTATATTGCACAACTTAAGTGATCACAGCTTTCACTTCTAATTCAGTTTCAAATCCTCCTTTTAGTGCTTGCAAACTGACTGTGCAGTGCTATGTTCATAATTTCTTTCAATAGGGCAGAGTTCCAACAGATTGCACCTCAAAGTGAAGGATATAACATGCACCATGTCAGTTCTGAACAACTGTTATTTTGGAGCTCCAATGCATTTCAATTCTGTGCTGTTCAATGTGTTTAGAGCATCAGATCACACCAGGTTACGTACTTGATTCCACAGCAATGAGCTTCAACTTTGCCATTATCAGGAGTCACCTGGAACCTTGACCAGACACAGAAATGCCAATGGGTCAAACGTGACAATCTAAAAACACATCTACCTGATTTGATTGTAGCAGTGTTTTCAAAATGCCTGAAGTGAAATTCAAAATGTTTCACTATTTATTTTAAGACATTGCTCCTGCTTGGCATTTACCACCTTTTAAAAAGATCTCGTTTCTCTTTAGATATAAAAGAAGGTTTTACAGACTAATTGGTGCACAAATGTGCTTTGTACACAAAAAGACTGAGACACGAGTGACTAATTTCAGTGTACTGTTTACAGTATGATTATCTTGCATGAAAAGTCCTGTTGCCTGTTCTATTCAGAAACCAGAGCAGTGTCACTACCCGATTAAATTATTCAAAAAAAAAGGAAACAATTCCCCAAATCCATTTCTCTTATTATTTAAAACCATAGTGAAAAAGGAGTAGCTTTGTAAAGTTCTAATTTTCCTTTGGATCACTGATATTCATTTCTTTCCCTCACGCTACAGACGTGAGCGGTTGTTGCTAACCTCTTCCGTACCTGACTCAGAATCTAATTAGGTACCATGAACTATATTAAATTATCACACGGGCACAAAAGGTGCCCTCAGCCTCCGATGCTCCAAGGAAAATAGCCCCAGCCTATTCAACCTCTCTCTATAGCTCAAACCCTCCAACACTAGCAACATGCTTGTAAATCTTTTCTGCACCCTTTCAAGTTTCACAACATCTTTCCTATAGCAGGGAGACCAGAATTGAACACAATATTCCAAAAGTGACCTGGCCAACGTCCTGTACAGCTGTGACTTGACATCCCAATTCCTATAAATCAATACACTGACCAATAAAGGCAAGTGTACCAAAGGCCTTCTTCACTATTCGGTCTACCTGTGACTCCACCTTCAAGGAACTATGAACCCGCACTCCAAGGTCTCTTTGTTCAGCAACACTCCCCAGAACCTTACCATGAAATGTATATTTCTTGCCCTGATTTGCCTTACCAAAATTCAACACCTCACATTTATCAGCCTTTCTTCAAACAACCTTATCAAAGGAGCCACTACGGTGCCAAAATTTAGAATAAGCCTCTGATAAAACCACTCATGCTGATATATCACAAAATTTCACATTTATCTAAAGGCACAGAAAAATCCAAAATAGCCCTTATTTTTGTTTCTCCAGCTGTTACTTGGGTCACACTGTGGGACAAAGTCAAATCACTCCCTTTTGCTTTAGCAAATTTGGTTCAAGTGGTGCATCTTCTGAAGTTTGGCTAAATACCATCAAATCAGCAATATAAACAGTACTGTTGGATTAACCAAAATTATTCAGTATCATTGAAAATATGCATTTTTCATTCAAACAACATGACAATACATTGATAAAGTCCATCTGATATTAGAAAGGAGGATTTATTTTTTGACACTCTGTAAATGAACCATGTCAACTTGCTTTTAACAAGTTAATTTTTGTAACAAACTATGCTCACCTAATCCTCCAATGTGATATAAATCCACCTTTACAGCACATACAATGTAATTACAATCAGTAAAGTCTGTGTGACCAACATGCCTTCTAGTGCACGGCCACTTGAACATACCACCTATTATGGCACTGAAGTCCAGTTCTGGAAGTTGCTGCCACAAAAATTGAGGAGAACAGTTTGTGACCTATCAGTTTGAGCACCATCATAACAGGTGAGTTCCAACTACTAAAACTAGGTACAATAACATCATTATCCATTATGAACTCAAGTCTCTTACCCCACAAGTTAAACCTCTCTGGACTGAGTCAAAAAAAGGTTATTTTTAGGAAACACATTACACCTACGTTAACTTGTACAGCAATGCTTTGTATTATAAAGTTTCACAGTCTGCATTGTTCTTCTGACAAATTGGGACACAGTCAGAGCTGTTCCAATCAAAACACACTATCATTAAAAAAAAGGTCCAAAATTCATCTGCCCAGATACATTTTCAAATAAGCAACCCATCGTCTAAATTTAGATACTAAACTTAGATTTCTCGTTAAATAAATCCCTGTGGAATCAGAATCATTCACTGAGCTAGTACCTTTTATTTCCTCCTTTATTTCTAAGCTTTTCTCTTTCAGAGTTGTCTAATTTCTCTCAGAATTTAGAAACTTGCTCTTAGTCTCTTGTTTTCTCTAACTCAAGTTATCTTTCCTTTCTAACTGAATTTTAGCTAATTCGAGCAGTGAGGTCCCAACTTCAGAGGTCCCTCCAGATACCAAAAATTTCAATAATCCACTATCATCTTGTACTCCCAGAAAAGTATTAGCAACATTCAAAGACATTCTGATATTCCAATCCACATAATAAATTTCACAATACTTCTGATGTCCTGTACTGCCACATACTCATTTGTTTTAAAGAGACACAGTTCCTGCTTAGATTCAATGAATTCCTATCCTAGCCGAGACCATCCACTTCTTGATCTCAGCAGATAGTAATACTGGATAAACGACATCCCAGAATGAAACCTAGCTTTACAGATACATTTTTTTTTAAAAAAAGGTGGTGGTTAGACATTGAACATTTGCACACAAGCTGCAAAAGCCAAAAAAAACCCCAGATTTACCACATTGAAGAAAAAAATGCCAACAGTTTAGAAAGATCTGAACATAAACGCCAAAATAAAGTTTCAACCCATTTTCTGGCAATATCCTTTGCAAATACTCAATTCTAAAGAAATATCACTCCTATCTCAACTCTAATTTCTTTCTTACCTGCTCTTTTTAGTTCTCCTTGTTGGACTGCTGAGTGTTTTATGAATTCTTTCGAAGTCTGCTGGCATAAACCTTTTTCCAATTCTGATGTTCTAAATTTCTTTAGATCAAACAACTTCTGTACAAATTCTCAAATGCTGGAAGCTTCATACACTAAAACCATTCTGATATCAAAGACTTCAAATAATCCACTATTGCCTTTTCCTCCTAAAATTATTAGCCAAAGTGACTGTTCTTTAGAACTGAAAACGTGAATCTTCTGAAGTCAAAACTAAACCAGTGGTGTCTAATCTATTTTTCTCCCTTTTTTTGTACAGTCAGCAGTATAAACATTTGATCCAGAACATCACAGGTACCCTACTATGCACTTAGCTTCCAAGAAAGCATGTGATGCAGTCGTCTTCAGTTCACTGGTCCAAAAGACCTTGCCGCCTCAAAAAATTAACTTGCACAGAACTGAAGCCATATATCTGCCTTGATTTCAAAATTCCAGATGATAATATATGCCTTCCATCACACCTGTATAGTTAACACAACTCAGTTCTCTGAAAGTCAAGTAACTTTCTTTCCAAAAAAGTCAGCTTTTGTACAAGAATACAACACCAACCAAGAAGGGTCTAGGCCCGAAATGTCAGCCTTCCTGCTCCTCTGATGCTGCTTGGCCTGCTGTGTTCGTCCAGCTCTACAGCTTGTTACCAACCACAACATGGTCCTTTTAATAAGCCAGGCTGCTTGAAATCACTCGCAGATACTGCTGACCTACATTAGCAAATCATGCAAATACTCTTCTGCTTCCTAGAATATATCCTATGGCTTCAAAAGTGTCACCAGGCAACAGTGAAACTCCCTAGAAGCTGTTTTGCATACTTTAGTTCTGTTCATTTAATGGGCAACATACCAGAAACCTTTGTGGTGGCTCAAAAGTGTCTTTTGGCACCACAGTAGAGATTTTGGTCTGTAGGATCTCAAAGACCTCAACCGTTTTCATAATATAGGTGCTTTGTTATGCCATGTAGTCAGATTTTAGTTTGGCTAAATAAAGTGTTTAAAACAGAGACTCCAGTGTAAAAAAAAAATTTATTTTCAAAAAGGAATGGTCATTAAGACAGTTTATCAAAGCATTCAGAGATAGTAAGATACATAAACAAATGAGTCACTTAACTGTTTCATACTATACATCAATTGGCCTATGGAACATTTTCCAATACTACTTTTAAAAGAAAACAAACAGTACAATAAACATAGAAACTGTACATTTCAATATGCATACAAGAAAAAACACAAAATAATCAGAAATAGATAATGAGAAGACAATCTGGCAACAGTATAATTTTATATTTTATAAAGAGTGCCCTTGAGATTCAGTGGGTAAATGCACCACCTGGTATAATACTGGAGGGGGAGGGGACTAGGAAGAGAAGACAGAGTGGGAGGGAGTGAGCAAGCGAGAGGGTAGTTCCACTCAGCTAATTAAGAGATGACACATTGGGAGAAAATGGCATAGGGAACTATTTCAAGGGCTTCAGACACTTAAGAAGGTTGAGGTGGGATAATGTGCCATAGTAACAGTCATATTAGATATTATTTTGACTTTAATTATGGCTACTTTAGTTCTGCAGCAGGGTCAGAATCCTGATTGGAGAAGTTAAAATATAGAGAGTTATTGCAAAGATGTTGTGGGGAAGGACAGGTTTTGGAGGCAACATGTTCAAGCATTTGGAGTGGAAATGGAGGTTGGAAATGGTGTGGTAGGATGCAAGGACAGAGAGGTCCAAGTTATTTTGAGAAAGTAGTGAAATTGCAAATTTGGAAGGAACAGTACAGTACCTAAGGAGAGGAAACCATCTATAATGTCAGCTAACACTGGAGCCAGGAAGGAAAAGTATGTAGTCAACAGTTTAGTTAGGAGATAAGAGAGAACAAAAGATCAAAGTTGGTGATTAGAGCCTGAAGTTTAACTTGCTAGGCAAGGGTGTGTTTCAATCTTTGTTGATGACATTTTCCATGAACTTTTGTTTTGGAGGGGGCAGGGAATGATGCTTTCAATGATGAAAGGAGATGACTGGCACAGGAGAGGGGGGGGAAAGAGAAGAAAAGTCATGGGTTACCTTTACACTTCACATTCTAGAATAGTCAGCAGATTTTGCAGAGATGAACTGTGCCCAATAGCCTTGATACAGTCCTGTCAGATCTGCTAATAAATGACAGAATCAGTTGTGCATGATATATGCCAAACTTGCACCCTTTGTACGCAAGTAAGCAAAGGGCTGGGGGGCGGGGGGGAGCTGGTGGTGGTGGTGGAGGAATTGCACCAGGGGAACTGGATGGGAAAGAAGGCATCAGAGTGGGGCCATGGGCAACAAAAGGTGTAAGTCAAGACATTATTGAGCAGACAGGCAGCTGTAGAATTATTGTACTCAATGAGGGTATGAAAACACTGTTGTAAGTGACCTGGAAGTTTTACCCCCCAAGGCTGATACAGAAGGAAGTGGGTTAGAAAAGAAGATGCAAGTAGAGGGAGATAGAGGAAAGGATTCAGAGACGGCCTTGTCTATGAATGAGTTGATGGCAATTGAGGTCATGTGCGATAGCAAGCATGAAATCAATGGTACATTCATATGGAAAGAGGACAGGAGTACAGGGAACCAAGAGTGAACACAAACTACTCCTCGTGGAGAACTTGAAAGACCATCAACTGGAGGCTTGGTAAGATCACTACTGATCAAGTTAGCCAAGCACCAAAGAACATTGTAGCCTACAGCAGCTGGGCAAAGAATCAACAAGGAAACATTATCTCATCTTCTCAACAATCCAAGTGCATCTGCCCGTAACAGTATTGGTAGGAATCATTATGCACATTCCTTGTGAAAATGGAGTCCCATGTTCACTGTGAAGATACCATCCATCGTACTGTACAGTACTATCACTGTGCTAGGTGGGACAGATGCACAGCAGATCAAGCTGCTCAAAACTAGGCACCCATGAGGTACTGTGGGCCATCAGCAGATTCTTCACTGTTGCAGTACAGAATGTTGTGGCTCAGAATATCCCTCACTCTACTGTTACTGTCAGGGCAGGAGATCAATTTTGGTTCAATGAGGAAAGCAGTGAGACCTGTCAGAAGCAGAAGGCCAACAACATACGTGCAAGACAAACAGTGGAAGCAACTGACAGAGCTAAGCAATTCTACGATCAATAGATTAGGCCGAGGTTCTGCAGTCCTCCCACGTCTAGTCACGAATGATAGGTGAACTAAACAACAGGAGCAATTGGGGATATCTGCAGAGCCAATGATAGGGATGCCCAAAACATGAGTGCAAAAATGACTGAAGCATTTGCAACCATATTCAGTCAGAAGTGAGAAGTGAATGATTTATCTCAGCATCCTCCTGAAGTCCCCATCACAGATGCCAAATTTTCAATCAACTTGATGCACTCCACATGATAAAGAAGTTGTTGAACACCCCAAAGACTGTGGCGGTTCACCACCACCTTCATGCATAATTAGGAATGTGGAACAGTTCCACATGCCATGAATTAGTAAAAAGATTGAAATACATAAAGTGTAGGGGGAGGGGGGGGAGGAGGGGGAGATAGAGAGAGAGAGAGAGAATTAGAGGGTTGAGAGAAAAACAGATCTTTGATCATTATTCTAGATAAATAGGTACAAGTGTGCATTAGCAATCATAAATTATGGTCAGAGCTCAATTATTCCAAACCTTTTCACCTCTGCACTCCTAAACTACCCAGTGTTTCCATGGCTACTTATTCTTGAGCTTCACTTCTTGTGCAAATGTAGATTAATAAATTTTAGTTGATCTTATTTATCTATGAATATTATTCAACTTAATCTGTTCCCTTCAGGAGTAGATTGGAGTAAATCTGTTACATGTTGTTGAGATTGCATTTTAGTCCCACATCCAACTCTTCCGTTCCCTTAATGCAACTTAAGAGCTGAGCATTGACAGGCCACGAGTTTCCACAGGCTACGCTCTGGGACCATTGGTGAATTCATTCATCCCAACTTCTAGTGTTCAAGCATTGGAATCACAGGATAGTGCTGCCAAGAGAGAGGTTAACAATTGTGTTAAACTAGTGCAGAAATTGAACAAACAGTTTGACTGGTGCATTAGCACATGCAGGAAATTAAATCCCCAAATGTTCCATACTCAACAGTTTTTGAAATAGTTGTACACTTTGCATGGTGACTGAATTATATTGGGTTTATTGGCAAAACCGTGTGTATTCACCAAGAGCAATGTTCACTTAAAAGATTGCAGTAGTTTGTTAGTTTGGGAAATATTGAAATTAGATTGCCCAAAACATTAATGGAAATAAAAGCATCCATAGAGACCACATTTTTCACATGTCTATTTAGGCATCCAACACTTGACATAAAACTGCACATCATAATAGATACTACAGCTGAAGACAAATTCCAACATATTTCAAAATGCATAGACAGTTCCAACTTAGCATAATGCAATCAAGTAGTACTTCACAGCATTTTTGATGTAATCTGCAAAATTCTGCATGAAGATTTTGCATTTACATAAATGCCTCGAATGTGAGAAGCTCTAAGTGTCTTACAGCCAGTGTGCAGCTTGGGAAGTTCAGTTACTATGGTGTGTAGGCAAATGCAGAATCCAGTCTGCAAAAGAGATCAGTGAACATTTAATCTGTATTGGTGGTGTTGGTTGAGGAGGGCTGTTAGCCAGGATGCTGGAAGATTGCTTTGCTTCAAAAGTAAAGTGCCACAGGATCTTTTACATTTACCCGAATATAGAGACCCAGGCCTTAGTGCAATCTCTCAACCAAAAAAGGCAGCATTACCAACAATAGAGCACTCTGTCAGCACTGGAATGAAGTTTCATTATAACTTCCGATTTGCAAAGTAGGTGCACCAATATTGAGTCAGTTGAGGCATATTAAATCACACACACTATTCTCACCCCTCAGTGATAATGAGAGTCAGACAAAGAGAATGAAATGAAAAAAATAAATCCATAGAAAGAGGGGGGAAAATGTCAAGAGAAAAACAGTAACATAGAATGAATTAGAGTAGGAGAGAGAGAGGCAGTTTCAGAAGGAAACAATTTTGATTTTACTGTCCTCTGAGTAATACCATGACAGATCAATTCATGGTCATGTTTATAGACTGTTTATGCTCTATAGCGGCCAAAAGTGAAAACTTCCCAAATGCTTATATGCAAGCAAAGTTTCTAACAGTCTGTAAACTTATGTGAAACACCACATTGATTCAACTAAGAATCTGCTTGTTGCAAATCATACTAAAATGTCAAGAATTTACAATGCAAGTACTTAGCTCAAAATGCAAGAAATACTTGGTGATCTTGGATCTGTTCTGGATTGTGAAACAGATTTGCTCATATGGGCAGTAAAAGTTAATACTAAGGCCAACTCTCAGCATTTACTGTGGGCTAGACAAGCAATGGGTTGGGTGAAGATAGTGCAACACTGGGCCAGTTCACAACTGGAAACTATGCAAGCGCCACTGTAAGACAATGCACAACATAGATCTGCTGCATACCTCCAACATTCCTGTTTTAATTTCAAATTTCCAGCATGTTTTTTTTTTAAACCAGCGATAACTTCATATCAAACTACATTTTGGATGCTAAGAGCACAAACTCCGGGAAGTTGCACTCAGTTCAGATCATCCTAGTTGAAATTGAATGCAATGCTGACAGGGCAAAGAGGCCATAAAATAAATAGTGCATTTGCTACTCTCACATAGCTTAGAATACACTACAGATATCAGACGATATTTTTCTTAATTCACTCACGATATGGGCTTCACTAACTGGGCGAGCAGTTATTGCCCATCCCTAATTGCCCTTGAGAAGGTAATGGTGAGCTGGCTACCTACAATATCATCGGGGACAGTATTCCAGGATTTTGACCCAGTGACACTGAAGGAACTGCCAAATATTCCCAAGTCAGGATGGCGTGCGACTACCTAAGTACTAGGAACACGAGTAGGCAATTCAGCCCCTTGAGCCTGCTCTGCTATTCAATATGATCTTGACTGACCTCATTTCAGCCTCAACTCCTCTTTCCTGCTGGCTCTCCAAAACCCTTCAATCACTTACCAATTAAATATCTATCTCCTTCATAAGTTTATTCAGTATTCTAACATCCACTGCACATCATCTGCAGACTTGGAGGGTGACTTGCAAATGGTGGTTTTCCCATGCATCTTGTGACAATACTATGGTTTTGAGAGATGTATTTTGTCCTTTTTTTTTGAAGAGGGGTTTTGAGATAAGGTACAGAGTTCTCTCTTCCAAGCCAATAAAGTAAACATCTTGAGGGGCCCTGGGATTTTTTTAAAAAAAAGTTAGAATAATAGAAGCAGCAAAAATGTGTGGAATCAGGCTCCCACAAAACCAGAGTTTTAGTTTAGCTTTCAGCGGTTGTTGAGCTTTGAAGTTGGCTGTGGAAGTTGTTATCCACCTCTCTCTCAGCTACAGCAAAAAGCTGGGAGTTCTCCATCTCTGCCAGAATTTTCTTTTGGTGTTTTGTTCTCCTGGATTGGAGAAATATCACATGTGGGACAATCTATTTTATTGAATTTGCCTTTGCCAAGGGTGTATTTATGGGATATTACTTTTTGGAAAAGTTGCTGTTTAGTAGTTGAATAACCTATTATTCTGTTAAGTTTTCCAATAGAGTTAAAGTTATACCAACTATTCTTTGTTTGTATTTGTGGGGGCGGCACAGTAGCTCACTGGTTAGCACTGCTGCCTCACAGCACCAGGGTCCCAGGTTCGATTCCACCCTCGGGCGACTGTCTGTGTGGAGTTTGCACATTCTCCCAGTGTCTGCATGGGTTTCCTCCGGGTGCTCTGGTTTCCTCCCACACAGTCCAAAGATGTGCAGGTTAGGTGGATTGGCCGTGCTAAATTGCCCACAGTGTTCAGGGATGTGTAGGTTAGGTGGGTTATAGGGGGATGGGTCTGGCTGGGATGCTCTGATGGTCGGTGTGGACTTGTTGGGCTGAAGGGCCTGTTTCCACACTTAGGGATTCTATGATTAACTGGGTGTAAGGATAAAAAGTGTGTTTTGCTTAAAGCCAAGTAGTGTGACCAATCGAATTACATCTGGAACTCGGCACCTTACACTTGCCTTGAAATAAGATAAAAGTTAGGGTCAAGGGAATTTGGTCTGGTCCATAACAATCTGTTGCCCATGTTCTTCTAGACAGTAGGAATCACAAGTTTGGAAGGTGCTGTCTCAGGAAACTTGGGGAACTTCTACAACACATCGTCTAGATAGTACTGCTGCTACTGAGCGTCAGGGAAGGGGTGAAAGTTTGCAGACATGGTGCCAATCAAATGGGCTGCTTTGTCCTGGATGGTATCAAACTTCTTGAGTGTTGTTGGAGCTGCACCCATCCAGGCAAGTGGAGAGTATTCCATCACACTCCTGAATTGTGCCTTGTAGATGGTGGACAGGGTTTGGGAAGTCAGATGGTCAGTTACACGCTGCAAGATTCCTAGCTTCTGACATGCACTCTCAGCCACAGTAACCCTAGGATATTGATAGTGGGGGATTTCCAGTGATGGCAATACTTCTGAATGTCACAGGGAGATATTACATTCTCTCTTGTTGGAGATGGTCACTACATGGCACTAGGGTGACATGAATGTTACTTGCCACTTGTCAGCCCCCACTTGGATATTGTCCAGATCTGGCTGCTTTTGGAAAAGGGCTGCTTCAATATCTGAGGAGTCACGAATGGCAAGTATTATGCAATCATCCTCACCTCCAGCTTTATGATGGAAGGAGGGTCACTGACGAGGCAGCTGCAGATGGTTGGGCCATGGACGTTACCCAAAAAGGTATTCCTGCAGAGATGTCCTGGAGACCAGATGACTAACCTCCAACCACCACCACCACCTTCCCATATGCCAGCTATAACTCCAACTAGCAGAACACTTGCCCTGGTTCACATTAACTCCAGTTTTGTTAAAGCTCCTCGATGCCACACACTGTCAAATGTAGCCTTAATATCAAGGGCAATCACTCTCACATCAGCATTGAAAATCATGATTTGATGTAGCTTTAATTGAAATTGGTTAAAGTTGAAATTGTATTTCCACCAGGGCACAATGGTAAATGCTGCTGTGCACTGTTGCTCAGATAGTAGCAAGGGTCAAGTCTGTCTCCTACTGGATCAAATATAAGCACTATCACCAATATGTTCATCACATTAAATAATTTCAGAATTCAAAGGTTCAAAATTCATAATGCAAAATATTATTACAGTCCAACAACTCAGTTCAATATAGTTAAGTTTATTGCTGACACAAGTTCATTAGGAAACTAAACAGAGGATGCAGCAAAAGCACATAGACGTGTAAGCAAGTAAATAAGTATATGACAGATGAAATATAATGGGGAGAGGTAGTATAGAACTATTCACTTTGGAAAGAAAAAAAAAAAGTTTTTTGGGGAAAATGTTGGTTCAGAGATCTGGATGCCCTTGTACAATAATCAAAGTTAGTGTGCAGGTAGAACAAGGAATTAGGACAGGAAAATGGTAGGTTAGCTTTTATTGCAAAGGGAATGGAGTTACTTGTAGGAGGAGAATTTGACTATACTCCTTAGAATTTACAAAGGATGAAAGGTGACTTCAACTAAGCATATATAAATCTTAAGGAGCACCACAGAGATGGTGGGACGATGCTCGAGAGTCTACAACTAGGGATCAGCCATTTAGCACCAAGATTTAAAGACAAAAATCAATTCAAAGGGTTCTGAATCTTTGAAATTTTATTCCACCAAACTGTGGATGCTCAGCCAGAGTTTGATTGGTTTTGAATACTCAAGGAATCAAGGTATCTAGGGCTAACACAGGAAGGTGGTTTCAAGGTAGAATATCAATTGTGATCTTATTGCATGACACAGCAGGTTTGAAGGGCTGAGTATTCTACTCAAAGCCATTTACAACGAATGGATCACTTCTGAAACATAGTCATTATCATATGGCAAAATAGAACAGGCAATTTGCACAATATATTACAAAGGGTCAAAACAACAGTCAAGGTTGCAAATTCTTATTATTCCTGGTCCTGCAAGGTTGCATGGTATTTGGATATTGGAACGGGCAGGATTCATTTGTGCTATCGAACTTCCGAATTCAAACAACCTGACAATACTCACTCGATCTTGGAAAATTCTCATTTGGTCAAGGCACCAGATAGTTGGTGACTGCTAACAGTTATAAAATCAGAATCAGGAGTGAATGCCCTGGAAAAAAAAAAGTGAAATTCAAACACAGAAATATAAATACAAAAGACACATCTAGAAGGTAGTAAGAAACAGATACAAAATCCAACAGCAAGAACAGTATGCTTTAAATTGATGTGAATGAGGTGGACAATCAAAGAGAGGGATGAAAGAACTGGGAAAACCAAAGTTAGAGAACATAATAAAAGCAAAACAGTTAAGGCAAACTTGGATTGGTCAGATTTCATGACCTGACAAATAAAACAAGATTGTACGGATAATGCTCCAAGGTGCAGAACCTGCTAGTTTCCACACAGGACCCACACAAACCAGCCATTTTAAGTTATCATGCAAAATAATTTAAAGGGCCTGCAGAATTGTCTGTGCGCAACTGGGAAAAATAATTAGAAGGTACATTGAACGCTGGGGCTTAAAAAGTAATTCCAATCGAAAAACTATTCACTTATCTATGTACTTTCTTGCATATACAAAATCCATAAAAGTGTTAAACACTTGCATGGATGTCAATTCATGTCATAAGCCTTACCATCACTGGTTAGGTATTGTGGAGAATAACCCCTCAAGTTTCTAAAGTAGCTTTTCAATTATGATTCCTCAAATTATTAAACAGTTATTCCATTAATTCTGAAGTACGTAACCAGTCCATTCATTTTTGTCTTCATGAAGGTAATCAAACACTCCTGTTTACGTAGCTTTTCGTAAAATCTGGGCATACTTACCAATAATACAGATTGACAAAGCCAAGGTATAGCAGTCCTAAGTGCGTAACAAAACTGATGGACTTCAAATAAAAACAAAACACGCACAATTTACTAGACTAGAACACTGATAGGTTTTCCATCACTAGTCCAGCATGATCATCCTACCCATTAAGCATTTGCGTGTAGGAACCAGATGGGTAACATCCCAGACCTCAGAGGTCAAACCCCTACAGATTCCATTACCAAGTCAGAATGGTAGTCAATCACCATTTGTTCTCTCGAATACCGTGACCAAACTGGCAAAGGGATCCACCAGATGACTAACTTGGTTCCAATTTTCCATCATCTGGTATGTTATGCTGGAGGCCAACTCTGCTGGCATGCTCTGACTCACCCTGGACTCCCTTGTCAATCATGAATCTAACTCAGTGTTGAATACATTCAATGGCCCAAACTCCAGGGAAAGAGAAATACCAACACTAAAAGACCCCTGAAATCCAGTTCACTTTCCTCTCCTTCCTCCCAAAATGGAAGAATCATTAATTGGGCAATAGACAACTGAAAAGCACCCATGATACCAAAACCACGCACCAGGAATCCTCAAAAAGCAGTCTAACGAGTAGCATAATTCACTACAAAAACACGCATTTATACATTCTCACATACCACCTAGAAATAGCATTTGCACTCATCATATTCCATTAAATAGCCGTTCCACCAGTTCGGGATGCGTGGAGTGAACAGCATCCATCATTCTTTCTACAACTCAAATCGTTATAAGTCCAGAGCCTTGGAAGTTTGCACATTTTCTCATACTTGGCCTTCAAGTAGTGCCGTTCAGTAGTTCTTCAAGTTCAGAATTTATTCGTCACTATTAGTTCAGTGAAAGAATTAATGCGGAACAGCCACCTTAGTGCTCTATTCAACTTCAGCACAGCACAAGAATGCACTAAATTTGCTATAAGCTGCAAAAAGGAGCAAATTAATCCTTTTTTCTGGCAATGGTGTCTTCTATTTGTCACTATCAAGGTACAAAAGTTTAATTTTTCATATTTAACCCTCAGAAGTCTACTAAAATCAAATATTTTCTTTCTGCGCATGCTCTTACCTTGGCTGCTAATAAATGTCTTGCTGGGAGCTTTGCAATTTTTGACGTAAGTGGTCAGCTGAAAAACATCAAAATTTTGATCCTTCACTCAGACCCGGTCAGATCAGACTCCAACGATTGTCTCCCACTCTGCTAAAAAAATCGGCCTTAGGATGATTTTAAACAGTGTGGTGCCTGCTCCAAAACAGACAAGTCACAGAGCCACAGGATAACAGATAGCTTTACTAGTTAAAACTAGACAATTCCATGTTCATCTTGCAATTGATATAAAACTAAAAGGATGACAAAAAAAAATTAAAAATGGAGAATACGGAGAGGAAAAAGACAAGACAGCACAGGAGAAACAGTTTCATAATGGTTTAATATGTATTATTATAGTATTGATAGTAAAGATTCAAGAAATCTCAGCTGTCATACAGTGAGGTGACTTTCAAACCTCAGGTTATCAGCTGAAATAACATGTTGCATTTTATATAGCGCCAAAGCCTCGTCATATGAATTATGCCGAACAGCAGTGATTTTATTAATAAATGCAGCAGCCATTTTGCACACAGCAATATTCCACAAAGCAATATTCCACAAACAGCAATGAATTAATGACCAGTTCATTTGTTGTGGTGGTATTCGGTCAGAGGGGAAACACTGGACAGGCCATCTCCCTACTCTGTCAAATAATGCCTTCGGATTTTTAATATAAAAGTTTATTAAAAAGACATCATCCCCTCTGTATTGCACTGGAATTGTGCTCCAACCACCATATCTTCTGATCGAGATATAAAGTGCTAATAAGTGATTCGAACTGACCCATACTACTTCAAACTAAAACGGTACTATCAGAAAACCACCATTAGGTAGTCCTTTATCAAGTTCAAACCTTAATTTGTAATTAACTGCAGCATTAGCACTTTGGAGAAATAAACCTGAGTGTTGTCACATGTCCTTAAAGTATTAATACAAAAGCTTATCAGAATATTAATACAAAATGGTAGAGTGTAATACTATGCTATCCCTCTATAGCAATAATGGTAGGGTCCAGAGCTCAATTTCCTAAAGTTAGATTGATGATCTCAAATCAGGCCAATTGAACAGGCAAGCCTTTTGCACTGAAATAAGGAAGAAAATTTTAGAGGAATGGTTTACTTGCTCCCCCTAGTGATTTATTATGAAATAGTGCTACATATATACTGGTCATATACTGTCTGATGGATTTGTATAAAATATTAAATCTTGTAATTTTTTCCACAGCTGTAATCATGTAAAGCATTATAAAATATAATTAGAGCACTGCATATTAGCAAACGTAATTAAATCAAGGTGAAGAAATTCAAAAATCTCAGCTGGATTCATGACATGAGGCATTGAAAAGATGATGCGGTGAGGGAATTGGGAGTGGAGCACAAGTGGTGGTCAGGAACAAATAAAGCAAACTAAGTGAATCTACCTGCTTCCGCGCATTTCCTAATAGCGCTTTAACATTAGCAGAAGTCAGGTCCAGCGCCTGCCCGTTCTCCTGACCTGGGACCTTTATTTTAAAATAGAGGATGGAAGTGGATGAAGGGGAATAAAAAAACAGAAGGTGGTGACTTAATTTGGGATAATTGTGTCACATACTGAAGGTAACCAAAGATTCTTGTCCTTACCAAATCACATCAGTTCAAGGCAAAAATCCAAACGATTGTTTTGCTTTGGGGACAAAACATCACAGCAGCCATTAATGTTGGGATGTACCAATTATGGCAAGTGAGTCAAATGCAACTTGTAAATCCCAGTAGTCCAGCCTCAAAATTTAGCTCTATTTGCGCTAATATTTCTTTGTTGGTTTGTTTTGTTTGAATAGTGGATACCTGAAGGCTTTAGTAATAGCCGTTTTCAGCGCTGTTACCTCAATGATGGATAAATCCTAAATCAAAACACCAAAATCTGTTAGTATATCTGCAAATTAATGCAAACAAGTTTAAACTTAAAGTAGACCCCATTGCATCCACCATTCCAGCTCAAATCTTAGGATATTCCTGCTTACATGACACTTGGGTATGAAACATTGCTCATCTCAGAACTTCAATTATTATGGAGTGATCCAGTTTCAATGCAAACCCATCTAGTGATTCCGAAGTTTGAACTTCCTCCACAGCAATCTTTTGCAAACTAAAAGGGAAATATATCCAACCCTTAAACCAAGTTAACCCAGTCTTCCTGATCTCTATTGATGCCTCCTTCCAAGTCATGTTTTTGCTTTTTTTTACCACAGCATTGCTCTGAGGCTTCTTGTTTTCACTCCAAGAGTGGCCCAATTCAGATGCCAAAGTTCCTGGACTCAGTCAATGAAGAAAAGACACCTAACCAACGAAGAAAAAAAGATAAAAAGATGGATGTTTAATAATAGACACCACAATAACCAACTGGATTTATATTCCAATTGTTGCCATACTCAGACAATGAGCCCCCGGAGGCGACTGCTACAGTTTGTCTTGTTACTGACATCTCACTGCCTTTATGCATGGACTACAATTCCCATAAACAAATGTTTTGCGAAGCTAACCTTTAGACTTTGTGTTGTGTGAATTAGCATCGCCCAGGTCAATTGGATTTTAGTAAATCACTTACCACAGCACCAGACCACTGCATGAGCAGAAGCAATTTGTCCAGTTTTATTTCAAGACAAAATAATACAGAAGCAAAGAGCAGTAGTAATCTTTTACAGCATAATGATCAAACTTACAAGATGGCTGAATGGGAAAACTGACACCTCGAAAATACAGCATCCATTGTTCTTATAGCTCCTCTTGAAAAGTCCTTAGAAACACGCTGCCATGGCCATTAAATACACACGAGCATTATTTTGAGCCTTTAGTGCTCTCTTCATAAAAAGAGAGATGAAGACCGAAGACCACAAGAAAGTTCCTGAATAAAAGGAATGTCTTTTCTGTTGAAGTAGAAGCAGTCTTTCTGAAGGTTGTCATCACAAACAAGTATCAAGCAGACTAGACTTAAAGTACAGAAGTTAGCGGCTTGGAACTGTATCTCCTCTTAATGGTCTTCGTTCTCAGCCTGACCAGTTCATAAACACTCATTAACATAAATTACATTTTAGATGCTCTGCACTGCAATGAATTTACAGAAGTACATCAAAAGGATCTTATATAAATAATGGACTGCATTTTGGCAGCCAGAGATATGAAACAAGCCAAACAATACTTGCATTAAGACGATGAAGATGATGGATTGCATGCAACAATCCCAAATACATTAGTCAGAAAAAAGGATATTTCAGTCACCCCAAAACCATAGCTGGCCAACACTATTTCAAAAACTCAATTTGCTTTACCTAATAACATCAAATCAAGAAAACATTTCTCCCCCCATCAGAGGTCTCTTTGCTTTAGCTTAGGGCCAGACTTCAGAGTTATACCAGCACTTGTCACATCACTGTTTACCCAAAATCAATACAAAGTGGTAGCTCAAACTCAGTCATATGTTGACCTGCTTGTCTACTACGCCTGCTACTATTCTTCCCTTAACCCGTTTTTTTTCCCATTTTGTGGTTTGTTGACTCAGTTTTTCCTCAATTTTATTTTCCCGACTATTGATTCATTTTCTTTCTGAGGATGTTCAATTTTCTAAAATTCCCATTTGTCTTCTCTACATTTTAGTTTGTTTTATTCTTCAGTTCTACTGCTTTCATTTTGCTGTGACACCCTAATACCTTTTTGTTTCCAAGACCTTAAAGCACATTACGAGACATGATGCTAAAACCTCCTAGTAAAGCAAACATACATATAAACATGCCTGGCCTGAAAAATATTGCAAACAGAGGCCTAAGAAAACAATGAGTTCTATGTAGCAAAACAGAAAAGGAGAATCATTAGAAGAAGAAAGATTTGTGGCAGGGATAAGGCAAATGAGGCTTCCCAGGTAGCAGAATTGTGGACAGGGAAGCAGAGCAAGTTGGAGCAGTAATGTTTCCAAGCCAAGTTTCAAAAATGGTGTGTTGAGGTAAAAATTTTAAAAGGGGGAAAAACAAAATTCTCAAAACATCCACTAACTTACTTTTTTTTTTGTGGGATGTGCTCAGTCCCCATTGCTGACAAATAAGTTTGAGACTTTAGGGAAAACAATGTGTTTACGATTGTTGCTTCTGTGAACATCAAGTCTGGAATCTTACAGGTGCAGACTTTACATAAGATGGAAAATGCTGGACAGATCTAGATTTGTTACATGTTTACATAAAATGACAACCATGGTCTGGATCAGTTATTTTGATTTAAATAGTTAATTGCAAGCAAAAGTCATCCCAAAGTAGGAGGTTAATGAAATCTGAAAACACCCCTCCGAATTGGACTATCTGGCAGACTGAGGCAGATTGCATTTAAGAGAATAAAATGGCAACAGTCAACACAAATACAAATCCTATCCCTGTGAACACAACACAGCTTGATGGTCTAAGTATAAAATGCAGGCAGATGCAAGAACCATTGCATCTTAGAATTATTTATCGGGTTTGTTCCATGATCTTTGTTGAGCTAGCTGATCACAACCAAAGTCATTTGGGTGTTGCATTTGGCGTCCACATGTCTTTGTTAAGGAAATGAACAGCACTCGGGTCACTGCTCACTACCCAAAATATCAAATCAAGGCAGTATTGCCAAACACACCAAGAGCCTTAATATTTGACTAGTCTCAAGATATTTTTAAATCATAGCTTCTCATAAAAGTGACCTCTCAATTATCTGCTGAGCTCTTATGCAACACAAGTGGTTTTTAATCTGTTATATCCTTTCTAAATCAGCTATATGTGCAAATTGTCATTGAAATTTCCTGTCCTTCCCAACTCAACATCCCTAGACATTTCTCAGCTAAAAGCCGGTAGCTCATCTACATTTAGATGTCTGCCAATTCTCTACAACAGTAGTCATAGGTGAGCTGAACACTAATTCTACCCTCTGGTGATCTGCGCAGGTGCTAAAATAAAGACAATGTACTTTATATATGAAAAATTATTTTATTGTCATAACACTAATAGGTTTTCTGAAATTTCTACTTTTAAAAAACAAAAAAGAGGTATACAATTAAACATTAAAGGATTAGAGAGGTTCCCCAGTTACGTATTCACATAGAGGTTAATAAGTGGCATACAGTAACAAATTAAAATAGTCTCATTTTTAGGATGTGGCAAAATTTCAAAGATGGGAACTACAATTGCAATGTCGAATCTCTACACACTGGAGGAATCTCTGTTGATTTAAACTAAGAACTTCGAACCCTGAAGGTTTTGTTGGAAGATTAGCCTTGAGAAAGAAAACTTAGGTAATCAAATTGAAAAGCACTACTACCATACTTATTAATTAGTATATCTAGTATCATAAACATACATCGTAGCATTAAACCTTTAGTCACAAAATAAAGACATTAAGGCAACAATCAACAATCTTATTGCCTCTTAAATCCAGATTAGTCATCATCTGCAGCATCTGTTATTCTACTAACCAAATAACTCAAATTCAAAGAACATTTAAACAATGCTTTCAAGAAAATTATTTTAAAATAGGAAAAACAGAACTCAAAAAAGGGATGTAAATTTGGCTTAACTACTATAATTCAGATATACGTGTTCAACATTTAATCATGGTTTTATGGAAGTCCCGTTTTAAAAAAATGTACATAAAAGCACATTTGTCTAAGTGCCTAGCCCCATGGACTTAACTATTTGGATTAATCTAATACAATTTAACATGGTATAAAATTTCAAGCTTTGGAACTAATAAGGCCAAGAACTGCAACTGAAAAGTAAAATACTGTTTTTGAAACTATGTCCGTCAAAAACAAAGGTTGCAATAATTGAACATCTCCGCCATTTTCTTGCTATAGATCTAAAGTCACAAACTCAACAGTTGTCTTGTAACTCCATTATGAAACTAATCCTACTGAAGTTCCAGGACACCTAGGGTATACTGACATTCATACAATCTTAGCATTTGTTAATGACGTAAAATATTCCTGGAGAGCCAACAGCCATTATAATCATGAGATATTTTGGAGCTGCCAGTCTTTATATTCAAGGGTTTGGTCAGGTTTCCTTGGCTGAAAAAGGATTTATAATATTATGCCCAAATATTTTTAGGCAAACAACTAAGCTCATGCAGCAAGTTCACACACAGTTGTGTAATACTAAATGTATTGGGAGAGAGAAAGACAGAATTTTAGCATACTGGTGTTAAGCAGCATTAGATCGAATACATGTAACATTCAAAATAGCTAAAAGGCATTGAAAGAATGTTTCAGTTCTGAAAGTGTACCTCTCAAGCAACAGCATTATGCGCCATCTTGCGCACAAATTCTGCTCCTACTCCAGTCTGGCATTTCTTTATTGTGGCCAAGAGATTAGTCAGCATAACAAAACTGGAAGATAGATCCGGTCATGGGTTGATCCAATATTTTATGCAGTCAAACTGTTGATACCAGATACCATTTTATGAAACATCGGATTTCAGGTACAGTGTATACAACATTACAGCAACTGAATAAAAATAACATCAAATTTCAGTTACACAGACTCCTTCACTCAATAATTGCCTTATTCCTATACATTCGTAGGACTGCAAATTCTCATGCCTTTTTGGAATAAGATAGAAAGGAATTACATAATAATCTGATACCTCCATAATCATTGATATCCAATGCAATTATTACCCAGTATTACTGTAGTTTATGACATCCCAAGTGTGCGTGGGAGCGAGAGAGCGTGCAAGAGAGGGGGAGCGAACAAGAGAGAGAGCATACGTGTGAGCACGCAAGACAGCACATGTGTGCGTGACAGCAGAGTGTGGGAGGGAAGAGTGTGTCTGTGTGTATTGTCGGGGGGGGGGGGTGGAAGAGTGATATGTGTAGGAGTAAGGGAGTTGTGGCGGGGTGAGCTGTGTGTGGGAACTGTAGGAGAAAGAAGCACAATGAAAACCCTCTAAAATGTTTTAAAGGCTTAAGAGGAATTTCAGCTAGTCAAGATGTGCACATTGCTAAAAGTCAAAATGGGTGTTACATATACATACTGCATTACCCATTCAGAAAAAGGATAAAATGTCCATTTTGGGCAACATAGGAATCAACCCCAACTTTTTTTCTAGCCGCAGAGTTTGTTTTTTTGGAGGGGGAGGGGGTGTATTGCAGCTCTGTTGTGTCATTATATTTCATGGTACTGATGTGGCTGATATTGTAACATTGTCAGAGTTCCTTGCCATAATTTACATTATTGTTTCACATGTTAGGTGTTGTTCCAGCTCACACGCTTAAAAGGGTTTTGGAACTCAAAACGTCGGTGCACTTGAGTCTAGTTCAGCTCAGTCCAAAGGCAACATAGCCACCACCATTTTAAGTCCAAATACGCTGTACCGAAGCCACCACTAAACGTCTGTGATGACGCACTCTCACAGAGTGCGGCCTTGAAATTAACCTGTTGTTTTGTACATTGCTTTTTACACCAAATGGTTTTAAGACAAGCTGCATTTCAATTCATTTTGCCAAAGATCTGTTCCTAGGACGCTGACATATTTTAGCAACTATCAGTATTTGCTCTTCAGCTGCTCTTTCGAGTAAGAATTTCCCCCCAATATGGCTTCAATTAGCAACTGCAACGAGGAAAAGGTAACCCAGCTAAAATTCAAAGATGTTTCCCACATGGCCTTTTAAAATTGTCAAGCAGCTTGGTATGTTCCTTGATTGGACACGCTGAAGCAATACACAGTTTTAGGTCTTGAAAGGCATTCAAGGATATTCCACGCACCACCGCCCTCCCAACCTCAATGTCACAGGAAGCAGAGAGTCTATTGCATTTAGGATCACTGCTGAGATGTTAAGAATTTTGGAAATGAGCTCATCAGAACTATAGGACTAATTTTTAGATTTGCAATTTTACTCCCAAAGTCCCCTTGTTTTAAGTCCTGGGGAAGTGCAGTGGCCAAATCTCCCATCTGTTGCTGTGGGCAAAGAGTTCACCATTGCTGCCTTTATTTGGTTGCGGAGAAATGCATTCTGCTCCAAAAGAACCTCATTGTTACCCATCAAATTTGACACCTGCTTTTTCAGTTCCTCATTGCGGTTTCGCAGCATAAGGTTCTCCTCTTCCAGGTATCCTGAATCAACTGACCGGCGACTTGAGAGATCATATTCGTACACCTCAAACTCAAAACCTTCCAACTTTCTCCTCTTCAAACGGTGGTCATACTCATAGCAAGTGATACCGCTATCATTATCCGATCGATCATATCTACGCAGTGGCTGAGAAACTGGGATGTCTCGTGCCTGTCTGATATCATGTTCTGCATTATCACGCTTGAAGTGTCGGAATCTACATTTTGAGCCTCTTTGACAATCACCTTTCAGGTAATCTCGGCAAACGGGAATCTCACCTTTATCCGCAGGCAGATCAGAAACTGACAGACCGTAGGTTTCAGCCACCTTGGAGCGCAAGTGCAGAGGAAGCTCCCCTGTTTTTTTGTAGTACTCCTCATCCTCTGCTGTACCATGTATGAATGTGCATTTTGCACGGGTACAAACATTATTCATAAAGTAATGACAGAAGACAAACTCATTCTTTTTCACACCTAGATCATGTACCTCATTTATGTCCGGGTGCAGGTATTTGCAGGTCTTGCCGCGATAGCAGACATTGCGCAGGTAGTCCCGGCAAACGTCTTCTGTGCTCTGGCCAGCCCCGTCTTTGCCATTGTTAACAACATTACTGTCTGCCATTTTACCGATTATTTCTGCACTGCTCAACAAACAACTGCAAAAGAAGAATGAATCATGTCAGAGAAAAAAGACCGACCACAAAGTAAGTGTGGTTCATTTTTGCTCCCCACCTCCCCAAATCAAGAATAAAAATCAACCCAAAAGATGACTTAGTCAAGGCTACACACCAAAGATTAGCTGGAACATTTATACCAAGAGTGATAAAATTTCCCACAAATTGTAAGCACTCTTTTCATGTCTATTAGCCACCTCATTTTTTAAAAGCAGTTGCATTAAGAAAGGTGTTTGCACAATTTTTCAATAAAGCTAATTTTAGCCATTTTGTATTGCGCCAAAATCGTTTCATTGGGGTGTGAGCTCACTTTCCAGCTATTGATAAGTTTATTGAACAGTAGGCTCTTGAATTTGACATACAAAAGCTACAGCAAAAAAATGCACATGGTGATATTCACAAAATATATTAGCCTTTAGATTATTTGCCCTCAACTGGCTGAAAAAAAACCAAATGAATCTTGTTCTTAGCCAAATGCCATTCTATTGGAACGTGACTCCCTCTTTCTAATTGGTGCCAAAATCCAGGAGACAGAAGTTAATTAAGGTTTAAGATCAAGATGGATTGGATTAGATGGAAGTTTATTCAAATAGGAATCTCAAAAACAGCAGGCTGAGGGAAAAAATATGACAAAGAAAAGAATGAGCTAAAAGTTAAAGACAGTCAAGAAGTTTTTGTTTAAAATGTTTTTGTTAAGTCGTCAGAATTTATTTTTCTCAGTTAATAAACAACCGACATTTAATTACCTTAATTATTGTAATATTACGGTATGTTTCAGCACCATAATGTACAGTTTGAAAATGTAAGAGGATGCAGTTAGCCAAGACAGCCTTAAATTTTCCCAGGATAGGCGAAATTAAAAAAAAATAAAAGGCACTAATTTATAAACAATAAGTTACACAATACTCTATTGATGTGCATATATTTTAAATGGCTTTCTTTCTCCACCCGAGCATGCTCTCTTGAGTTGAGGATCAAGCCAACATACTACTTTATTAGCAGTATCAATACTACTTTTCAGTGGATAAAGGTAAGAGGTGCTCTAAGAAATATTGGAAAGATTCACAGGTTATCCTAAAAGCAGGCCACAGCACAGCGCCCAAGAGAAAGCAAACTATTAACAAAAGGCTGTTAATGATGCAATGCGATCTGCCATCTTCCAGTTGGAGGTAACAGGAATATGCAGCCAAGATGGAAACTTATTGGCAAAATACATAAGAATTAGCATGGAACTTCTTGAACAAAGCTATCTAATTCTAGATTACTTTGAAAAACCTGATTTTAGGGAGAAAGCGGGAACAGGGTACTGAATTAGATGATCAGCTATGATCGTATTGATTGGTGGAGCAGGCTCAAAAAAGGGCCAAATGGCCTGCTCCTGCTCCTTTTTACTAAGTTTCTATGCTTCTAGATCAATATTGTTTTACATTTCACGCTCCCCAATGCACCACTTCCTGATAAGCAAGAAAAATTTCATACTTTTCTGGAAGGAAAACACCTCAAGAAACACTGGACAAAATTCATTACTTACTGTTTCTTTGTGCAATGTATGGCATTATATTTCACCTTCAGCACACCACCTCCATCTCAACTTCAAGGTTATGTCGTGCATGATTGCCGTGAGGCAGTGTGTCATAGCTGAAAGTTAATGCACTGTGTCATTCAGTTATGGGGAGCCACTGCAAATTTGATGACAACTTTCAAAATTCTAATAAACCTTGGGTCTTCTGACACAAGAACTCTTTTAGCATCCCTGCTGGTTTGTTCCAGCAGAAAAACTACTAACTGAATTATGTTGCCTTACATCCATTGTAATTTTAAAGACTTGTTACTTATGTTCTTAAAACTTGTGGCCCGAATCAGAAGTGCCAAAAAGACTGGGACAACAGTGAGAGATGTTGAATGCTTTCTGCTTTGATGCAATTATTTTTCAAGTTGAAAAGTTGACTTTTCTGTTATTTCTCAGTTGAAACAATGACATAGTTATTCTCACAATATGACAAAATATACAAAATATTACAATATTCAACATTTCACTGTAACCTAGATAAAGTAATTCTTTACATTGTGATACAACATTCCAAAGAAAATGAATTGGCGTTTACAGAGCATTTTGTGCTCTCAGGGCATCAAAGCACTTTACATCTGATGAATTGCTTTTGAAGCGCAGTCACCATTGTTTTGTAGGCAAACACTGCAGCCTCTTTGCGCATAGCAGAGCTTCACAATAATTGAGATAAATGGCAAGATAATATATTTTTTGTAATGCTCGATGAGGGATATATATTGCCCACAACACTAGGATAACACCCGTGCTCCTCAGATCCAGATTTTATCATCTGCAGTGCCACATACTATCCGCTAAAAGAAAGTTAGTGAAATAATACAAGATCAAGTCTCTGAAATTATCAAGACAGCACTCGCGAAGTATTCCCAGGAGCAGCACATCTTATGGCATATATTATTCAGTGGCAACTGAACACAAACAAATGTATAACATTTATAGGGAGCATTCACATTTAGTGACTTGGTTCAATGCACATAAAAATCATGGGATAACTTCACAACATCCTGATCTAAGGAAGCAAAAGGTTCAAGAATCAGTTCAACTACCTTCATCCTGTGTTGCGTTAACATGCTCGCTATTCAATGCCAGAGGCACAAATGCTGAGTGATCTGACCAAATACTTAATTACTCACTCAGAAGTAAGAAACAGTAAAATTGTCGTGAGGTCATGCAACCACCGACAACGCTGCACTGAAGTACTGTTTTTATTTTGCCAGTAACTAGTGGATTAATAAATACATTTATAGAGGAACTGTATCTCATAGATGCCAGAATATAACTATAATTATTCTCTTTTTGCACGTGACTAGTGATATCTGGAATTGGCACTGATTTTGCTCATAGCCACAACAATGTTAGCTACTTACTAGGAATAATGCAATTTTTTTTTGCGCATGACTGGCGCTATTCAGAACTGGGGCTAATTGTGCTTGCAGCCACTGACAAAGATCTATTAATTATTTGCCAGGATAATGCAAAAATCATTTTTTGTTTGCGCCTAACTGGTTTAGCTTATAGCCGCTAGCACAGACCCATTAGTTGTTTGCCGCAAAGGCAAAGGCAAAGGCAAAGGCATTGCTTCCAGTTTAAAAAGCAGAATGGTGATGAAATAAAAGCTCTAAAAATTCAGCACAATATAAATATTCTGAACAGCCCCCTCCAAAGTTTCATACCAAATTCTGAAAATGCCTCATTCTACACTCAATTCATATTTAAAGCCAGCGTCTTCCTTTTCCTTGAAGAGATTTAGCTACTGATGTTCAAAAGTTGCAAGAAACATCATACAGCAAATTTAAAAAAGCACAGACTTGCGCCAGTTGGCAGGGAGGGTAGTTTCTAAAAACTTTGGAGCCAGGCTTTAGGCTGTTCATAAGAACCACCTTAAGGAACCCCACTAACACTCTTAAAAGCAGCAATGAAGGCAGTGATCAACAGCAGAGAATTTGGCTTTTATTAGATGGACTTTCCTCCATTTGCTATGTTAATGCAAACATTTGGCAGGACTGCAAGCAGGAATTCAAATCACACTGCATGTAATTTTGAGAATTAAAGCACAGATTGATTGTTATCAAATGGATGCCAAAGGATTTGTCTACAGATTTAGTAGACTGTTTAGAAGGTTGCAATTAAGCACCAATACACAATCCAACATTTGCATGTATTGTTCACTTGTACTGAACAAACATTTTAACAAAAGTTACTTCAGACTGAACAAAAATCTTAACTCTTTGAGATCATTAATCAGTGCCTATTAAAGCATCAAGTATGGTTTGCGGTTTAAAATAATACTGAAAGGAACCCACCAGAGTCCGTGGAGACAAAGTCCCTTATCTGTTTATGGAAGGCAAAAAGTTCCAACTGGCCATAAAAGGATCAGGTGTACTGAGAGAAAAACAAGAGCAGAATTATTTGAAGCTGCTGAGTTTTCAGGTCACCAAAGCTGGAAAGTAATTTATCTCAGGCTATTCAGTACATGGAATATTTCAGCCCCAATTCCTGTCAAATACATATTTGTGTAATGCCTTATGGTTTATGCAAGTAGAAATCATGCACTAATGGAAAGACTGTACTATTATTTTGTACTAAATCCAGTATGCGAGTCAAAAAGTACAAATGCAATTAAAGCCTATTGAAAGTCTTAACTTGCTGGGCATATTAGTGTTTCTGATACAGAAAAAGTAGCACATGCTCCTCCCAATTTGCCAAAAGGCTAATAAAAATCCCTCACTAATTTTGGGTCTACCACAGAAAGGGGTTCCATCAAGTCTGCACCCATGTTTTCCTCAAGTCACCTAGTCTAAGCCCACTTTCTTGCCCATTCTCCACACCCTTTAATATCTCAGCTTGTTGAATCACACTCTCCTGCTTGCACCTTCTCTTTTCTTAAACCAAGCAACAATCTTGAGTTTCTTTGAAAATAATGAACTTTTGTTTCAGCAGGAGGATTCAACACATTACACTGAAGTTCTTTCAGCTCCCTGCCCCAAATTGCTGAGATTACCTTGAATTTGCACTCTCTCATTAAGATCAAACTCTTAATGACAGGCACCCATCTCATGAAACACATCCCTCAAGTCTCTCACAACAACCACATCTTCTCAACCCTGGTAACATTATGTCGAACCCATGTTACACCTATTATTTTCATAAACTTATAAACAGTATAGCCAAAAAAACCAAAGAACGGTCTAATTGTAGGCTGACTGAGGTCTTTACAAGCTCAAGATTACTTTGACTGCTTGAAGTTTTAGATATAAAAAAGTCAAGGATTTGTTTGGTATTTTTAATAGCCATACTCATTTGAATAACTACATTCAATGATGTGTATATTCAACGATGCACATCAAGCTGCCATTACTGTGGTTGAAATTTCACTCTTTACAGCATACTTACTTTCACTTTCCTTATTTGAAAATATACTACTTCTACATTGAACTGCACGTGCCACTGTCTGCCTATCTTTTAGTCCAAGTCCTATTACATTCTTTTACCATTGGTTGCTGGAGATAAATTGGGAGAATTCTATGGTTTCCAAATAGGCCCATTATTTACAGGGACAAAGCACTTAGGATGAGAAATGCTTCTAAAATTTAGTCAAAAGACAGTGTTGCATTTTAAAAATGAATGGTGACGTTAAAACTTGCAGCATCATGCGTACTACTGATCACAAGTAGCATATTTATAGAACTACAAACCACAACTCCTTTCCAAAAAATAATTCACAAGTCATGCTTGGTTTTTAATAACAGAGCAACACAAGATTTCTAAACAATTTTAAGAACCTGTACTACTCACCTGTTGCCATTATTCCTCATTCTGTGCCAGCTAGGCAAACCAAAATCAAAAGGCAAGGTGACAAGAATAAATCAAAATAAAAAGTTGAATAAGACACAAGCATATGTACCTCTTGGGTGACTTGAATACAAAGCCACAAAACTGAAAAATCTACTTACTTTTTTATTACAGAGTTTGGAGAACTGCTCTGGAGACGCTCCATTGGACCTAATTTTCATAGTAATAAAAAAGGCATGTTATACCACCTAGGTGTGTAGCATAAGAGTTAATAATTCATTTGAAGCAAGCTAACACAATCCAGAATATAAATCAAAGAAATAACATTACCTACATTGTAAGGTGTTTCGCATTCTTCAAATAAAAGTATCCTTCGTATACCTCAAGAGAGAGTCCACATTACCTACATGGACACAATCCCTTCAGGTGTTTCACTTTGATGTTGCTGCTCATGAGCTTTATCCCCATCCAGTACCCATACAGACAATTCATTTGATGTGTAATTTTCCACAGCAAGTAGAACAAAAGGGTAATACATGATAAAACAACACATTATTGCATTATGTAGATATACGAACACATAGTAAATTACAAGGCTTTTGATAAAATAAAAGGTCTATCAACAGGTGCTTTAAGTATGAGGCATGGATATCATAGAAACCACTATCACATTTTCACAAAACACTAATGTTACCAGATATTCATAGTCAAATAGATTACAGAAAAAAAATTCAGTCCCATAGAACAACAGTGCCACTCTTCATAATGAAAGAGAACTGGCACATGATCAAAATATGGCACCCTTGTGCCATATTTTTTCTAAAATGATCTTGTGCATGCTATTCCCAAAGTGTTCATGTTTTGCTTTAGCTGATAATCTGGAATTGATCCTAATATAAGCAATGATACCCAAATGAGACACAATAATCAAAATTGTGCAACTACAAAATGAACAAAGTGTAGAAAAAGGCTCAATAAAACATAAATTCACAGGATTTCACACTGAAGGAGTAACTTTTTGAAACTCCCTTCCCAATCTACCCACAGTATTGTGACAGATGTTAAATGATTTTGCTTCAATTGACTACTTTGTTTTTGCCCACAGCTTAGTGTACCAAGTGAAACCTAACAAAAAGTATTTAAAAAAATTAAGATACAAATGCATATTTAGACCTATTCAAATTTGTCTAAGCTTTCTTCAGGTTTGAAGCACAAATTGCCAGAATGTAATTAAAATACATCCACAGCTCCTAAGTAAATGTACTAAGTAGTGCCATACAGACAGAAAAGGCATACCAGAAGAATTGCTGTCAAACATAGCGTTCCCCAAATAATTATGAACTGCACAAGTTGATCTGCACTTTCACCTCCCGAGACCAAGCATGACCAGAAAGATTTAGCATCAATATCACAAAAGTTGCAATTAGGGTTTCAAAACAGTTTACAGTACAAGCATCTTCAACATTTAAAAAAAAAACTTATAGTTAGTGTTGTTGTATGTTAAGAAGTAGAAGTTAGAAGTCCTTACTGTGGGACTCTGGTTCATGCACAAAGTTCCATTACTGCATGACATACTCAACTTGTACAGCATCCTTTCCTCTCCAAGATTCAACTCTTAAATCAGTACTTCAAATCCTCAATCTTGTTTTTGCAAGGAATCTCATACCTTAAACCCAGATACAAGCTAGCTTGTTTTTTTGATCCCAGATACTTTACTTTAAAAAAAAAAGAGCAGTCATCTTCTGGCTTGCCCAGCATATTATTTAACAACAAATGGTCGTAGGATTTGGCAGCTGTTAGTAAAAAGGTGCCACGCCATGCTCAAAATAGCAACACTGAAGATCAAAAGATCTTGAAGATATTTAACAACTTAAACATTGCAGTCCATACCGTGGGATCCCTATATTCAGTTAACTGAACTGGCTGGATCTCCCAGTCTATGCTAATGCAAAAGCTACTGAGCTAAGTATCATATTAGAAATACCTGAATTATTCTTCTATTACCCAAACCTAAATAACCTCATATCCCATTATATATAGTGAAGTCATGACAAATCTACTGGGGGGGGGATGAAGAAAGAATAATTTATATTAAGATTTTAAACTGCTGCAAAAAAATTTATTGTTGGCTTCCTTTCTTGACGGAAGGTTTGAAAGTTTAAAAGCTGGTGGAATAAAGAATAGTTGGAGAATGAAGGTTTTGGAAATGCAAGTAGCAGCAAAATGGAGTAACAGCCTTCCAGAGGTCAGGGCAGTGACTAGAAGATTCGGCCATCTTTGAGGGAATGGAACAGGAGTATGGATAAACTGAGATTGCAACAGGTTCCCTTATTCAAGAGAATTTCCTTCCTTTCAAATTGCTGTTACCCCACTCTATCAAAACATAAACTTACCCTCAAACTGTGTCCTTCAAATGGTCACTCTCAAGCACCGGTCTTTCTTGGATGTGTTGTCACCTCCCAAATCCATGCAAATCCTGCTGGATGTATGCCTGAATCTGTCCAAGAGAGTCTAAAGGTTTTAGAGTAGATTTGTAGCTTGGGTTGTGGATGTTGTGGTTGGTTGGTTCGCCGAGCTGGTTCATTATTCCGAAGATGTTTCATTACCCTGCTGGGTAACATCATCAGTGCAGCCTCCGATGAAGCGCCGTTGTGTTTTCCCGCCTGGCATTTAAACTCTGGTGTCCGTTGAGCTGGATTACCTCACTTTCGGTTTCCCTTCGCAATGGAGTCGAGTTGTGTGTTTGTTGATGGCTTCCTTCGTGGAGTACCAGGCCTCTAGGAACTTCCATGCTGGTCTCTGCTTTGCTTGTCCCAGGATCTTGGTGTTGTCCCAATCGGATTGGTGGTTCTCCCTATCCACGTGGATAGAGATGTTGAGTATTGGTCGTGTCTTTTTGTAGCCAATTGATGTTCATGTACTTCTGTTGTTAATTTCCTTCCTGTTTGTCACAGTCTCTGCAGGGAATCTTGTATATGATGTTGGTCCTGTCCACAGTGGGTGGTGGGTCCTTGGTTCGGGTGAGCAGTTGGTGAAGGGTTGATGAGGGTTTGTGTGCGACTCTGATGCCCAGTGGTCGTAGGAGTCTTGTGGTTAGTTCCAATATGTTCCTGATGTAAGGCAGCGTGATGAGTGTGTCGGGGCTTGTAGTATCTTCCTGGTGTCGTTCGTGTGATAGGCATCTTCTGACCCAGTTTTTCCAAGTATCCACTGTCCTTGAACACCTGGAAGAGGTGCTATTCTTCTTCTCGGCGTAGCTCTGTGCTGCTGCAGTGTGTTGTTGCCCGTTTAAATAATGTTCTCATGTGGGACAGGCACACACACTGACCAAGTACTAAACTTCAACAGCAACCATCTTAACACACACAAACGAAGCTGCGTGAGAACATTATTTAAACGGACAACAACACAGCTACGCCGAGAAGAAGAATAGCACCTCTTCCAGGTGTTCAAGGACAATGGATACTTGAAAAACTGGGTCAGAAGATGCCTATTACATGAACGACACCAGGAAGATACTACACGCCCCGACACACATCACGCTACCTTACATCAGGAACACATCGGAACTGACCACAAGACTCCTACGACCACTGGGCATCAGAGTAGCGCACAAACCCTCATCAACCCTTCACCAACTGCTCACCCGAACCAAGGACCCACCACCCACTATGGACAGGACCAATGTCATATACAAGATTCACTGCAGAGAGACTGTGACAAACACTACATCGGACAAACAGGAAGGAAATTAACAAGGGTACACAAACATACGACAATACTCAACATCTCCATCCACATGGATAAGGAGAGCCACCAATTCAATTGGGACAACACCAAAGATCCTGGGACAAGCAAAGCAGAGAAAAGCATGGGAGTTCCTAGAGGCCTGGTACTCCACAAAGGAAGCCATCAACAAACACAGAACTCGACTCCATTGCGAAGGGAAACCGAAAGTGAGGTAATCCAGCTCAACGGACACCAGAGTTTAAATACCAGGTGGGAAAACACAACAGCGCTTCATTGGAGGCTGCACTGATGATGTTACCCAGCAGGGTAATGAAACGTCTGTGGAACAACGAACCAACCCGGCGAGGCAACCAACCAACCACAATGTCCAAGAGAGTCTTAGCTACTCCCACATCAAAATACCTTCAACCACAGATACAATTAAGAATCTCTGCAACTGTTACTACTAGTGCATTATCCCTCTGACACAACCACACAACCCTTCACCAAATCTGTCTAGGTTTATAGCACTGCAATGCCTGGTCCCACTGTTTTCTATTCAGCATACCAGGAAGATCTACTGAAATAGTTTCTCTTCCGATGTCCAATTTTTGCAGCCTCAGCATCCAATTCAACCAGAGATGAGCTGCTGTCATTCACACACAGTGCAATGACCACTGATTTCCCCTTTGCATAAGGCTGCCCAGCTCTATCTCTACTTTAGTCCATCTTCTACTGCCTGTTTCCTATCCTACACCAAATCCTGACTTTGAGAGATTATATCTATAAAACCCTCTATGTCAAAGAGAAGGTACTGTGTAAATGCAAGCTGTTGCTGGGACTGTCAGACAATATTCCTGTGTTCTAGATCAGATTGGTCATGCCAGCTGTGATAAGATATCCTTTATATACACACACACACACACACACACACACACACACACACACACACACATTTGTGTTCCAAAAATGTGAAGTGTTTTGGGTCTGTCTATAGATTGGTATCAGAAGAAACACAACAGTACTAGTAAAATCAGTATTGGTAGAAAGTAAAGTAGTACCAGAAGTACAATAGTTTACAAAGTGGGAGTTGTGGCCAAAAATACAATTTCAGGAATTAACATTGATGTGCATGAATTTGGGTATTATGAGGAATTTCGAAAAGCTGAAAGATAAGCTCTTCAATGGAAAGTACTTCTTGAACATGTAATTATGAAACCTACGAGGAAAACAAGCACAGGTAAAGCAGTCTGTGCAAGAGATATGGGGGGAAATCACTATGCAGTGACAATCAATGCTTTTCAGCCAAAAGAACCAGAAAGGCTGGAGCCGGTTGCAGAGATACAAACAAAATAGACTGGTGAGGAATACACCAATTTTTTTTTTGGGTGTGCAAACCTCCGAAACCTGACGTCAATGTGTCAGTACAGAACCTCAAAGTGGGGCCATGCACCTTAGAGGGAACACCGCTGGCAAGTATTTTCAGAGGTTTAACTGGTTTCCTGATTAAGGCATCATCAGGTTCCAAGAAATGTCCACATGACCAGAGGTTGCATATTAGTTATTTATCCCTAGGCAAAGGGTAAACTGAAAGTTAACTGCAGTGGAGTGGGGTCAGCTTGATTTCTTTTCCCCCATTCTTCAGTTCTGAAGGAGGGCCACCACACCCAAAACAATAATTCTGCTTTCTCTCCACAGATGCTGCCAGACCTGCTGAGTTATCCCAACAATTTCAGTTTTTGTTTCCAATTTCCAGCATCTGCAGTTCTTCAGCAATTCAGAACACTAGTAATTTATACAAAGAGGATTAAAAATGCAAAGCTCTCTGTGAAATCAAGTTTTCTGTTCAGCAGTCTTCAAACAGATTCTGGCATTGATGCAGAGAATGTGATATGGTGTGTTAAATAGTTGGAAAAGCGAAACATTGAAGGTAGAACAAGGTGTGGATCGCAATAATATCCCTTGTTGCTGCCAAAATAGTGCCAGAGTCCACCATACCTTTTAAAGTGGTTGCAGGAGTCACTGGGAATTGTATGTCATCAGGCCGGTTATGACCCAGGGACTTTGGAATATAACTGTTGGTAGATGTGACTCAAGAGCTAAAATGACTGGATGGGAAGTGAGAAATTCTACAAAACAAAGGATGCATTGAAAATCTTCCAGATTTTACATCGGAGAAAGCTTAGGCTCAAGCATGAAAATGTTACGACAAGCAGGCCAAAGTGGCTTTGAAGTAAATGGTGATGGTAGAGGGGGTACCACAATGTGCCATCAATGCACATGTGGAACTTGAAACCCAACTTGTGGAAATAAAACAGGCAAGCAAGAAACAGGAAACATTAGAGCTTAAAGGACAAGAGATAACGTTATATACATGTACAGATTGTTATGTCTTTGAACAGCAATTTTAATGCTGGGAGGAATAAAGCTGAAACAAATGGATTCAAGTAGAGAATTGTGGGAGCAGCAATTATAGAAGCTAGTTGGCAGCAAGGCATTCAAATACTCCGAAGAATACTCTGCAGTAGTTTGAGGGGGCATACAAAGGAAGCCATCAACTTTGCCAACAAGGACAGAGGTAAAATCGTTGAGTAATCAGAAACTTTGCGCAAAAGAAATACAATAAGCAAGAAACCAAAAGAGTGAAGTTATTCATCAACAGACATTTACTAAATGAAAAGCTAATGAAACGCTGAGGCTACATCATAAGGCTGTATAACAGTTACATTAAAACTAATGGTCAATTCAGATAAAATTCCCATGGTCATATACTATGCCTAGCAACACCGTAGCGAGTGCAAAAGTCAAGCAGACAATGAAAACAGCAGATTCATCACACTAGGAATCATGACAGATAGCAAGATAATTAAAACTTAAGAAAAATATTCTACTTGACATATACAGTATAAACATGGGGTAGTAAATGAGTAAGAACTACAAGAACACAAAAGCAAAGTCTCATGTTATTGTAAATTAACATGTTCCACTAACAGAGGATGCTTTCTATGGTCATTTAATGTAAACTGACATGGCCACACCAAGACTGACCATAAGGCAACTGAAAGTCATTAATGTGGCTTTCAGACTTGAAACATGCTTTTGTTAAACTACAGTTTTATATTGAAAAAAAATCTGCATGGCTTCTGATCAGACTGTATGGGGCAACAAGCTAGAATGAAATCCTTTAAGTAGGAGTTAAAGGTTTATCCTCCTCCAATAACAAGAGTGGAGGTGAAAATTCCCTGCTGGATTGTACTAAGTAACCTGAATTAGTAATTAACTCCAATAAATGTTATAATACCTGCGGTTGCTGCTTTTCAGAAAGTCTGGGTACGTGCAGCACCTTTTTCCCCTTAGTTGCATCACTGCAGTTATTTTTCTTGACAGCTGTTATGAAGCATGCTGTTTAATAACTAGCAAACAGTAAAGTTTGCTTAATGTGTTGTGCAAGGTTCATTATTTTCATGGGATAACTTCCAAGTTTGTTTTAAATTCATTAACAGGATGAGGTCATTGCTGACTAGGCAGCATTTATTGCCCATCCTTAATTGCCCAGAGGGCAGCTCAGAGTCAACCACATTGCTGTGGGTCTGGAGTCACATGTAGTGCAGACCAGGTAAGAATGGCAATTTTCCCTCTCTAAAGGACAGTAGTGAGCCAGATAGGTTTTTCTGACAATCGACAATGGACTCATAGTCATCATTAAATTTTTTTATAGATATTTTATTGAATTCAAATTCCACCATCTGCCGCAGCGGGATTCGAACCTGGGGTGTCCCCAGAACATTATCTGGGTCTCTGGATTAACAGTCCAGCAGTCCAGCGATAATACTACTAGGTCACTGCCTCCCCCTCAAGT